GAAATGTTTATGTCAGGGCCTGAAAGCTCAGACACCTATTTTAAAAGACTCTTGCCACTGTCTGTATATCTGTCTCTGGGGCTGGTAAACATGTCTGTTATAAAAGTTAATGGAATGGAAAGCTGTCATGGGAAATAGAAGTATTGTAGGTAATGTGCCAGTGGAGACATCTGCAGTCCAATGACAAATGCAGCAGGATCAATAAGGAACCAAGGAGAGCGTTGAAATTACATCTTGGCCTGGTACAGGATCTGATCCCAGATACTGCATTGTGCTGTAGCCAGTCTTTGGCATGTAACCTCATTTACCAGCCCCTGTCTGAGTCTGGGAAGGGGGCTCAGCTGTCAGGAGGGAGTGCAGGAATGATGAATTTCAGGTTGGAATTAACCTGCTTCAGTGTAATTCTCAGTGCTGGGGTGGCTGGGCTGGGGATTATTGGGCAGCTCCTGTGCCTGTGGGTGTACTTGTGAGGAGGGCAGCAGCCTTCTAAACACAGCCAAAAGAGAAGGCTTTGGCTCCCCATCACAGCTGGTTCAGCATCCTCTGTGTATCTCAGTACCCTGGAAGGGGTTTGTGTCCCCAAGTCATCCCTGGGACACAGAGATTCCTGATCTCCTGATTTGGTGTGCTGGGTTTGGGAGAAGAATTGGGCTGACTTCTAAAACCAGGAGCACAGAGTGCTTAATATGTTAGAGTTTTAACTTTGGTTTAAATTAGTGTAGTGCCCCAGACAGGGCTCTGTCCTCTGTTCCTGCCACAGAAGAGCCGTGGCACTGGCAGCAGCTGGGCAGAGCTGACCTGGCAGCCCTGCTGGAGTGACCTTTGAGGGAGCAGCAGAACTGCCATCCTGCTATGTCAGCCCTGGCCCCTCAGCTCAGCCTGCTCCCTGTCAGGGCTTTGGAGAGCTCCTGCTGAGGGTTTTCACTGTGTTTTCTCCCTGTTATGGACATCCCACTCAAGGGTTGCCTATACCTTAAGGTACTGAAGGTACCATGAACAGCTGACATCTTGGTAAAAGATGTTTTACTCTCTACAAAATGCAAAGAAAAGGCATGTTGCTGTTCTCTGTTCTGCTGGAGGTCTAAGGTAAAGCTATGCTCCTTGTTGCTTTTAAGAAATAAATCTATTTGTTGTAGCTTGTTTTGTATGTTGATGCTGTTTCTGTGGCATGAAGTAGAGTCAGAGAGAGTCTGCCTGTTTAAAGAGAGGGAAAATAAATGTCTACAAGCAAAACCATGTCTAGTGAATAGATAGCCCAGCATCCACAGCATTCAAGCTGCCTAATTTTCCCTTTTTTTGGTCTTGTTTTGTTTTTTTGTTTGTTTGTTCTTTATCATTAGGCTGCCTTGAACTTTAACTGAACCATAAGAAAACTATGAAAAGTCTCAATAGCAGCCCTGTGAGGATTTGACTTACCCACTGGATCTTCTATTTTTAGTGTCCATTAGTACACAGAAGTCTGTCCTTTTGCAGCAGTCATGGATGGCAAAAGCACTGTTCTGATGAACTGCCCATGCCCCCTGTGTCACCCAAAATATCCATCAGCAGAGTGTTCAGAAATAAGCCTTTCTTGATTAAAGAACACTGCCAAACAAAACAAACTGAACAAAACATACAAGCCTAGAGGCCATTTGTATTTTTATTTACTTATTTTGCGTAGCCTGAAATAGAAATGTCTATTTAACAGGAGACAACCTTTCACCCTCCCTCATAGCTCCCTGTGGAGCATTATCTTTGTCCCAAGCAAATTAAATCAGGAAGAGAGCTGAGAGGGTGAGAACTGCTTTCTGAGCTTGTAGAGCCCATTTGTGGTAGACAACCAGGCTGGATGGGAACAAGTATAAATTCTATTAAAAAGGAGGCAGTTTTTAATGATTTATATTTACCCTGCTGAGAGGAGGGTTGTTTGGCTCATGGAAAGCAGTTGACCAAGGGGATTTCCTTTAGATATGCTCCAGGTACTAAACCTGATATAGATTTGCATATTCTATATGAAATTAATTGGAGCCTTTTGTTAACATTTTCATGTGAACATAAGCTTCAAAAATGGATTCTTTTAACAGTCTTCCTCATTGTGTCTTGATTTGTTCATCTGAGCCAATAGTACAGTCTTGATGATGTTGTGATTAGCTTGGTGGACGTTCTGACAGGAGGGCCATGTGTCACATCCTTCAGGTGGCAGGAGTTGGTGTGGGGTCCTCCATAGCCATGGCACTCAGTGAAGCTCTGTGCTGTCCTCCATGCTCACTGGAGCTGTCAGAGTGGTGCTCTTTCCTGCTCTGAAAGAGCAGAATGTGAACAGGGATACACCGGCTGTCCAAGTTTGCTTTGTGGAAGGGCAGTTTGTCTCTCCCCAGCCCATGGGAGGTGCTGCAGCACGCTGTGGTGTGGGGAGGGCTCCAGGAGCAGCATGGGCCTCGCTGCAGATTCCTTCTCCAGGTTTTCCCAGCTCGTGCTTTGCGGGCTGCCTGTGCCTCACAACACAGGGAGCTGTCAGGACCTGTAAGGTTTCCACATTTGTGTCCAGACCACTGGTCTGCAGCAGCACCATGTGAGAGTCTGGGAGGTCTGGGAAGTGTCTGCTTTGTGTTTCTCACGCAAGGAAGGAACCAAGAGGTGGCAAGAAGCACCCCCAGCTTCCAGCAGGTGTGGAAGCTTCCCAAAATGAGGTGCAAAGCCCCAAAATGAGGTGCAGGCCCCTGAAAGGCAGCTGGGAAGATTGCTGGGCTTTAAATCAATATCCCTGCTCTTTGATCTATAGGACTGGCCACATGCATGACTTGATTGGTGGGGTTATGGTGCTCCATTTGATCTGCTTAACCACAGAGGGGACTTTGATCTCATACTAGGGATGTGTTGTTAAACAGAAGAGCAGAACTAGAGCTGCTATTCATATTCTCCTCCTACAGGCACCTTTATCATATGTAGCCTCATCTCAAAAAACAGTTGATTTATTTCTTCCAATGTGGAAGGTTGCCAGAACTTCTCATCCCTGACAGTAGGAAAGCAGCATCTTTAGATTTTTAATCTGTATTTATCCTCAAGTTTGTATCCATGTATTTCAAATGTTTTTGCAAATTCATGTTTTTCAAATCAGCTTGTTTTTTTCATTGCTTGGTAGTTGTTCTGGTGTATTCCTCCATCCACTTTTGCTGTTGGCAGCAGCCAATGGAACTGTTGCAGTAACTGCCCTCCAGGTGACCAGCCAGGAGTGCAGTGAATTGTAAGGTATAGATACCAACAATTAGGAATGTTCTTTGCCAGTGGGTGGGGATTTTAATATCTCATTAAGTCACTTGTGTAAAAGTAAGATTAACCTAGCACTTTGGTTTTAGACAGACATGATTGTGATAATTTACATCTGTTTTTTGGGAAAATCAATTGGCTTTTCTAAAGGACAAATGGAGAGGAATAGCTTCACAATAAAAATACAAGGGAATTCTGTAAGAGTGACTGTGAAAATAAATCATTATTAATCTAATGGACAGTCCCTTGTCAGAGTGGTTGCTGTAAAGTTACATGTAGGGCATTGATTTAAACATACTTGCCCTTCCCAGGCAGTTCTTGCCTGAAGGATGTGGTAATGAGTGAGCAGAGCTTTTATTCCTGCCCTCAGGATGGTGACTAATGGGGGCTCTGGCAGGAGCAGGGTGTATTGACCTCTGCCATTACAAACCTCTGTCTCCACGCAAGGGCTGGAGAAGCAGTGAAGTTTTGCTCTGTTCCCAGGTGTGCCCAGCTGTGCAGCTGGTGGGCTCTGACTGTGCAGCTTGTGGCCTTCCCTGGGGGTCAGCTCCATCTGTGTTGGGAACAGCTGTCAGACAGCACTTGGATATAGCTGGAGAGGGAAGGGGGTTATTTCCACTGAGTTTGGCTGAGAGAGAGAAATACATTGATTAATGACTAAGGGAGAGCAGACTCAAATACAGATAAGAACCACAAACCCTTTGCTTTCTGGATGCTGCTGGACCAGCCCTTAACATCTTGATTTGTTACATCAAAGGGACCTGAACATCCAGAGGGGAGGAAACTTCTCTGGTTGCTTCCACATGCAGCTGCGTGCCTGATGAGATCTCACTGCACCTTTGAGTGGGTCTGGAGTCAAGCTGAGACAGTTTCTCAGTTTGGAAGAATTCACTCCTTGAGTGGTCCTACTTCTACATTCTGCTCACCAGAGCAGGCAGTTCTCAGCCCTTCCAGGTGTGCTGCAGCCTGTGGGCAGTGGGGAAGAGCAGAGTGTGGGTTCTGTGGCACCCAGCTCTGTCAAGCATGCAGTGCCTCAGTCAGCTCCATGCACAGAGCAACTTGGGGGACAGCAGCAAGGAGCCCATTCCACAAAAAAAATGTCATCTCTGCCATCCCTCTGCATGGTACTCACACCTGCTGTTCAAATAAAGCTTTGTGTGGCAGCCTTCAAAGGGGTGAGGAAGGTGAAGTATTGATTTTAACCATGCAGGAATGTTATTTCGCCCTTCAAGCCCCTCACCAGCAGAGATGGCTGTCTGGGAAGTGCCTTTAATGCATATTGTGTGCTGCTGAAGAGGAATTAGAGTCCAAAGGGCATGTTGGAATGCAGCTAGCTTTGTATATTAAATGTCAAAAAATACATTACTCAGCTGCCCATTCTACCCATTTGCAAAACAATACCTACAGACATTTTTCTAGGCATTTAATAAATGATTGTCCTAAAATATTGCAGTTGCTGCATATTGTCCCTAATAGAAGGAACATTTAATTATGATGCTTTGTGCATCCTGGTTAGAGCAAGTTCCTGATCTTTATAAATACTTGGCATTTTCCACTGAAATCTTTGGAATATCTGGTCCTTCTCTTTTATTTTTAATGATTTCCTTGTATTTCAGGAAAAAAGATTACCTTTTAAGAATGGATTGAATCAGCCTCTGGTTTTTTATTGTTTAAGCTAATCTTTCTGATTTCAGAACACCATTCTGATTAGCATGCTTTTCTTTCTTTTTTTTCTGACTTTGCTGCTGCCACAGAAGAAGTGTCTGCGAGGATAGTACAAGTAGTAACAGCTGAAGCTGTAGCAGTCCTGAAAGGTGAACAGGAAAAAGAAGCCCAGCACAAAGATCAGCCTGGATCACTACCTTTAGGTAAAATGAGACAAAGAATGTTCCAGGTATCCTTGTGTCTCCAAATGTCTGTATGTGTATTAAAAAATGCAGTTCCAGCCGTGTATTCACATTGCTTATGGTTGTAAACCATAGCCACCACTGGATAAATGCTGGAACCACAGGATTATAGCAGGATCCTTATTCTTCATGGCCCTGTGACTGTCTCATTCCCTGTTTGCTCTAACAGCAGTTCTCCACCTTGGTTTTGACTCATGGTTGAGTAGCCATGAGTGTGTTTGGTGGTAGGGTTTGTCATCGTGTTGGTTGGGATTGTTTGTGTTGAGCCATGTGAAGGATCAACATCTGAAGAGGCAAAGATGGAGTCACAAATAAAAAGAAAGTGAGGCTTTGCTGGTTGGGTGGCAGCTGCTCAAATGGATGGAGGGGGCAGCACCTCCACAGGAAGCAGAAAGGAATGGGGCACTCCAGGTTGAGAGCACCAGGCAGAGTGAGGGCAGATTGTGGAAGAAGAAGTCACATGGTAAAAGCAAATTCCAGCAGTCTATACTGGAAGGGGTAAGAATGCCACTGGTCCATGCTGTGTCTCCACCCTCCTCTTGCCTCCTTTGTTTAATATCTCTGAAATATACATGTCTGTGTATCTATCTTATCCATCTATAAAAGAAGGTAGGTATACAGTCATTTGTACCTTAAGTGCTTGCTCCTTGCCAGAAAACTTTTGCAGTAACTCAAAACATGTCCACCAAGGCCAGAGAAAGGACGTACATCATCTTGAGGTAAGGAAGTCATGCCAGCCTGTCCTGGGATAGATTCTGCTGAGTGCACGTTCATTGTGATGAAATCAAAACAATGCCCTGCAGTGTTTTCCCCCCAGGTCATCTGCTTGTTTTGGTACAGTGCTTGGCCTTGCCTAGGAATGAAATAAGTCAATGAGTAATTTAGAATATTTGTTGGAATTTTGGCTCCCACGGTTTTTTGCTTTATTGAACTAACTTAGAACTGCAGCAGGGAGATGTGTTGCTTGGTAATTCCCTTCTTTGCAGAGACTCAGTTTTACATGGAAGATCTCAATTCTCCAAATCACTTCACTCAGGCCTGGGAGAGGCAAAATGGATATTCAGTTCCATCTAGTCAGATAAGTAATTTAAAAGGCATTGTGAGAAGTATGTCGTCAGTTAACCAACTCTTGGTGTTACAGTTCCTGTGGTCAGATATATCATGATGAGTTTATACAAACTGTGTCCCTGGACAGCACATCTTAAGGACAAGTCACATATGGTCTTCTCCAAATCACACTGAAATCAATAGGAGGAAGCCTGGAAAATTCTGTTGGGGCTTTTGAAAAATTCTGCCTGTGCTTGGAAAGAAGCCCTGAACAGTAAACTGAGATCTGCCTGTTGAAAGGTGCTGTTGATAAGACAGAGCTGTTAAAACAGATTTGTTTGTTTTTTTTTTTTAAACATTGGTTAAGCCCCAGGAGTGGATCTGTTTTTAAAGAAAAAAATTCACTAAGTTATTGGTATGAGATCAAATGCAAAGGTCATGCTGAGTTCACTTAAGAAGCTTGTTTAGAATTTCAACATACTTGAATTGAAGTAATTGAAAAAAAAATTATTTTCAGCATCTGTTCTCATGACTGGGAATGAATGTAAATCCAAGTCCAAGTGCATCTAAGTTTTCTCTGTGCCTTGCTCAGCTGAATCACTGTTATGTCACAGCTGATATAAGTTCCCTGCACTGATATCTTTTGCATTTAGACAAGCAATATTTGCATGTGTTCTGTGATTAACCTTGAACGCAGCAGAAGAAAAGTGTGCAGAATGGAGTCTTTTCACATACTCAAGGTGGATTAAAGAGATTGGGTGCCAGTTTCTGATAGTTGGTGTGAAATTATAATAACTCTGTGCTCACAAGCTTTTTTATTGTTACCTTGGGTGACTGAACACTTTTTAAGAGGCAATGCATATTTAAAAGAGTATCTCATATTTGATTTTTATATTGTGCTCTATAACCAGAATTTTGTAAGTAATTCATCCCATTAGAAAACAACAACAGAAGAATAAATCCTTTTGTTTTAAAAAGTCCATGTAATCTGCAAGGATCTGTCTAAAAATCTGGCAAGCATGAGTCCCCATCGGATAATTCCTCAGTTGGGCAGAACAGGCTGACTGCAGCTTACATCATGAATTGGTCTTCCTGGAATTAATGACTATCTCATTTTCACTGTTTGATTTCTAGCAGTTGAAGAGTCAGCCAACCTGCCTCCTTCCCCACCTCCATCACCAGCTTCTGAGCAGACTGGAGTTCTGGAGGAAGGTAAGGGTCTCCTGGACACTGCAGAGCTGTCAGCAGAGGGATGAGACATGAATCTAAAGGATGGGGAAATCAGAAAATGGAGATACTTTCTGCAATGGAGATACTTCTCATGTGGAAAAATAAGGCATTCTCAGCAGTAACTCCCCATCTGCAAACCAGCTGCAGTGCATGGATGAGGTAGATGCATGCACAGAGGTAGCTGAGGGATATGCTAAGTACATCTATGCTAAAGAAAAAGAGAAGTGTTGCTCACTTTTTTGCCTGTTGTATGCAGTATGAGCCACTGCTGTCCCAGTGTGGTCACCAGAAGTATGATTAAGTATAGGTCATTGTTTGTTTCTTGAGATGTGTTTGGCTGCATTTCTAATATTACCATTGCCTTTTGGTTTGGAATCTTAAATGCATGAAAGCAAGGAGATTCAGAGCTGGATCATTTCTTTGGCCCTTGACGTGTAATTCATGCTCCAGTGCCTGCATGTATTGGAAGCTGTGCCCACCAAGTGCAGCAGTCACATTCTAGTCTTACCAAGCAAGTTTCTATTCTGTTCTGCACGAGTGTTCAGTTTCAGTAGCCCATGATCACTGCATTTTCCTCCTGCTGAAACCTCCTCCAGCAAAGAGCTGAAGTGTTGCCTTGATGTTGAGCAGAGGCCTGAATCCCTGGAAGCTGCCGCAGTGTAGGCGTGTGCGTGAGTGCTTTGTTCAGCAGAAGACAACTGCTGCATCAGGGCCAGCAGCATAGGGAGACAGCAGGGTGTTTGTTCTGCATTGTGGGGATAAGGAGGATTTGGGTTCAGAATCTTCAGAATCATTCTGAGCTGCATTGTGGGGATAAGGAGGATTTGGGTTCAGAATCTCCAGGGGACTGTCAGTTGAACTCATGTCAGTCATGTTTTTATGTCTCCACTTACTTCCTTCTCGGATTTTCTTTCAGCGTTTTATCTTTCTTTTTGTTACATAAGTGCATGAAAATAATTTCCTATCATCTGCTGAACAAACTTTGTTGGTATTTTAACACAGAGCCCCTATGAATTTTGCAAGTGGATGGTTGCTATTTCATGTGCTAGCATTCTCTGACTCAGTTAATGAGGACACTGCAATTAGGCATGTTCCATCACGCAGTCATTTTTGACACAATGAAATTACAGGCTGTGTTAACAACAACATTTGTCAGTCCACTCTACTGGAAGAGCCCACTGGGTGTGGTTAGTAACAGTTATAAAGAATTTGATTAATTGATTGTTGGTTTTTTTTTAAAAATCTGCCTGTTGTGTGTTTAAAAAACAGTACAACAGTTCCTAGACTTATCACACAGAGGTAATGGCAATCAGAACTATTAACTGAAAAGAGAACTGGTAAGGCACTAGCAAAGATTTTTAGAATTGTTACCAGGGCTTTATCACTATTTTTAATACATAATTCACTTGTTTAGTCCTGTGTATGCTTTTTAATTTGTCATATCATGGTAAAGGGCTTGTTCTTTTGCTTCAGTCCAATGTCAAGGTTCTTCCATTAGCCTCAAGTTTAGGTTCGGCTTTGTGTGCTGCTTGTGTCAGCTGTATATTTGCATGTATTTTAGGGTTTTATAAGGTCTTTCTATTGTTTAATTGAAGGTTGTAGATTGGCTCCACAGCAAATGGAAAGCATTTCGCTAGTTGTACTAACACAGGAAGGTGGAAAACACTCTGCAACTTGAGGTTATTATCTACTGCCAGACTGCAGCTCCCAGCTGTGCAAATGACTCAGCAACTCACTGAACATTGTTGCTTTTCTCTTTCCTAGCATGTAGAATTGAATTAATATAATAGCACTTACCCTGCAGAGAGGTGGTTACAAGGGCTGAAAGGACAGTGCTTGGGAGATGTTTCAATGACTTACACAATGTCCTGGGTTTGAATAACTTTCCAATAATTTTCTTTAACATTAATCAAAAGCGACTTTTCCACAACATGGAAGATTTTGATTCAGTGCTTCATTTTTAAGAGCAGATGGAAGTTTTATAAGGGAAGTATAGATAGAAGTCATGTCCTGAGTCTTTAATGAACTGTGCTGGAAGCTTCTTGTTTATGTCTGGCTCTCAAACAGGAACTCACAGTAGAGTTGTTTGAAGCAACAAAAAAAAACTTAGAAATAATTTCACTACAAATTTATTATGTTGCTTTTTACAAAAATATCAGTATTGTCAGTTCAGTGTAGTAAAAATGGCAGTAAAAATCTTCTGCTCTGCTCTGTATTAGAAAATAGAGTCCTTATTTTCTGTGGGTAAGTTCAGGTTTTGCTGACCTGAGCAAGCCAGACCTGTCAATTTTATTCAGGCAAAGTTCCCATTCAGAAGAGTTTGCCTCAGTAGGGTTTGACCCAGTTTTCCTGTACTTGTTTAAACCTCCTGTTCCCTATACCATCTGGCAATCCATCCTCATGCATCTTTACATTGTCCATCTTTCTGCTTAGTAAAATGCAGATTATTAATTAATTGAACAAAAAAGGTGAGCCCTTGGTGTGTCTGCCTCAGACCTTTTTTTTCCCTTCTCCTAGAAGCTCTTCCTAATGCACTTGTCAGTGTGTGTCGCATTGCTTTGAATCCAAGAGACTTCTTCAGTCAATGTAGGAAGGAAATCACTGTTGTAGACTGACAAAGGTGGATGTGGCCAGCCATGCAGCAAACACAAATTAAAAGGGAAAAAAAAAAAGGTAGGAAAGACAGAGAGGTTTGTGGGTCAGGTTTATTTCATGAGAGAAAGGAGTCGGTTGGATGTAGGTTTCTTGGATTTGGCTGCAGGAAAGCATTCAAATGAACCTGTCCCTTTTTACTGCTGCAGAAGGTAAGAGAACTGATATGCCTTATTGAAATTATTATATTCATTTCAACTATAATAACATAATTTTGTTTAGGAAATTAAATTCTTCCTAGCACCCTCTAATCCTTTTATCAGTTGTATCTGCCTGGAAGGACTGACGTAATATTCTAATTTCTTGGCATTTCTTTTGTGCTCTTTGCCTTTTGATGATGGTCCACAATGTCTTCATGTAAAAAAATTTTAAACATTAAGGAAAAGAAGGGTGCCTCTGATGGACTGTCTTCCACTTTGAAATAGGCAGATCAGCCTTTATATACCAAATAAGAATGTTTTGTAAACTGAAAAGAATCAAGTGTTGGAAAATGGATCTGTTGACAGTGGAAATTACTTCTTGAAAGGCATTCTCAAAACATACAAGGAAAGTAAAACAGAATTAGCCTTTGTGAGAAGTGATTTTAATCTTGGACTTTAAAATGCATTAGGGATTTTCCCATGTATTGAGACGGAAAAGATTAGAAGGGACTGTAATAACAAAGGATTTTTCTTGTTGCTGAAATAAAAGCACAGCCTCCTTAGAAGACATCATTATCCTGGTAATGAAATTATCTGCATTAATTCTGAAAGTATCTTCCTTCAAACTGATAAAAAACCAATGTAAATCTGTAAAATAGCTGCAGATATAACAACCCCAAACAGCAGCCGGCTTTGCACTCCTGGTGATTTTGGACCATCACAATAGCAAATATTAACCATTTTTACTGCTGTCAGTTCCTGCAGTTTTAAGGAGCAGAGGCAAAGCCTCTGTTTTCTCTCAGTCTGTTCAGTACAGTCTGTTCAGAGCCTATAAAGAAGGGATTTTCAGTCTTGTTTGCAACAGTATAGGCAAATGCTGGGATTTCACCTTCACTCTTGGTGATGCATTTTGCTTTTGAAGGGCCCCTGGGTAAATAAACCCACAGCTGGAAGGAGAACCTCCCCTTCTGCACATCTTCCTTCTCTGTGTTCAGCTTCTTGACCATATCAACCTTCCCTTCTTATCTTAGTGTCCCAGTTCCAGCTGAATAGGTGGCAAGTGCTTCTGCTCATTCAGCTCTTGTCTTCAATAACTCATGGGCTGGTGTGAGAAGGGGGAGTTGAGGTTTTGAACGTTCTTGGATTTAGGAGGGAGTTCATTCCTTGTCTCTTGTGCCCTGAAGTGTGGGCTCACACCCTGTAATTTGCCTTTTGCAAACTCTGAACCCCCTCAGATCTGTTACAGAATTTTGTAGATGTTTCTGTGGAGAAGAAATCCACAGGTTCTGCACTGCAAATAGATTGAGATGATTTTCTGAAATCTTGGTTTTGGCTCTTAAGTAGTAGGGGGAAATGGGAAGCTTGGGCACAATGCTGTGCTTAGCATTTCCTACTGCAGTGCTCTGCAGAGCTTCCTGCTTGGCAGAAGTTGGTTGCCAGGTTTTCTTTCCACACCTGCCTCTTTTAATATTGCATGAACCCCTGAATATGAGGGTTGGATTCCACTACAGAAGAGAAGCAGCCAAATTATCAGTGGTTAGTGCACTCTTTGTTCCCTGAAAGAAACTGTGAATACAGTTCTCCTAACTGAGTTCCATGTGGGGTCTTTGTGCACACCTTTGGTCCCAGCCAGCCTCAGGGCTGGCACCAGTATTAAACACAGGCCCATGGAATTGGTTTCTCCTACAGCATAAGAAATCCATACCATGCCGTTACAGGACGCTTGCTGCCAGTTACCTGAGAAAGCAGAGGAGCTTTTTCTAAAGACACAGATGTTGTTTTGTCATGATGTACTGTAGAAAGAAACTTAACACTTCCTGTTGTTTGCCAGGAAGAACCTTAAAGCTCTTATGAATGGGATTGTTTTGGATCAAAATTGTTTCCAAGGCTTGGGTAATCACAGTTAGGGTAGCATTCCTGAGCCCTCTTGTTTTGGCATCTCACAAAGAGATCTGTTAACACTGCCTGTGTTAAAACCTTGCTTTCTGTTTTGGATCTAAGAGTGACATTTTTGGGGGCTCTTGGGGAAATCCTGTAAGTTATAATTGCCTTTGGAAAGGCCAGGGACACAAAGTATGGGCTTGGAGCTTGGTAGGAAATCCAGTGGAACAGCTGCAGCTGCTGAAGGCACCCTGTGAATCAGTGTTCATCAAACTACCAGGTGTCATGCACTGAGAATGGACTTAAACC